ATTAAAAATGATTTTAATGAAAATGCCCAAATTTCAAACCCAAATATCTGAGGAACCACTTAATTTCCAGAAAAAGTACAATAGGGTTTTTCATAACTCAACATGCTCTATCCAATGAGACATCTCTCATTCAAATCCGTGTTAGGCATCTCGTGCACTTCCCTTGTTAGACAGTTGTTAGTCTCAACCTTTACCCATCAACTACATGTTTAACCCTTAACCCAACATCTTGCCAGTCTACCTATCAGTCTTGTCTGTTGATGAATAAAAGGCAGCAAAAAACAAAAAGAAAATTTCATCTCAAATTCTCATCATGAACATTATCATTTTCACTCCCTTCATCAGTATCAGTTGACGGGTCACTTGGTTTGCACAAAAAGTGCACACTTAAAAGCTCCACTGACAACTTTAAATTCATTTCCCAACTGGTTACCATCTCTTGCCTTTCCATCAACATTATCATTTCATTGAACTTTTTTTTCTCTCTGTTATCATAAACTTTTCATCATCAACCTGAACAAGTTTATCAAACTTTTAACCAGAATCATGGAGTTGAAAACTCAAACCGTTCAACACTAAACAAAACTCTTTCCAATCAATTTTGTTTACCAAATGAAAGGAAACAAGACATTTGCTCATTGTTGGTTGAGGTGGAAAAAGGTTTGAATAATGACAATTTTCATGATGAAAGTGACGAAAGATGAAGTTGAATTGACAACAGTGAACAAGTTTCCTCTTGTTTCAATATCGAATATGAAATTTCGGGAGAAAAATTTCTCATGGAATTGAATAGTGAGGGAAAAGAAAAGGTTTCAACTAAAGCTATTAGTTGAACATGTTTGTCACGTTGAACTTTACTCTAGTTTATTGCTTCTTTTCAAGAGTATTTCACGCTCTCTTCCTCATCATTTTCAACATTTTCATCTTAATTCCTTTTTCTCTCTCTCTCTCTCTCTCCATCATCTTCAGGGAGACAATTGATCCAGCCAAATAACAACTTGATAGAGGCAATAAAATTAATCTCCAATCATGGTTATGAGTGTGTATTTCAAGTATATTCAATCAAGAAGAAAAAATTGTCCAAAAAATCAGACAAATGATGTTATCAATACAATCAATTGACTAAAGTTGAAACCTTTTCTTGTCCAAACAATACATTGAATGAAAGTTCATCTCAACTGTTTCATTGCGAGACCAAAAAAAGACAATCATTTTTACTCTACTTTTTTTCAAATCTCAGGTTTGCTCATTTTGTCCATTCAGTCTGTCTTGTTGGTCAGTCAATATGTTAGTTGAGACATCATTAGTACAAAGTTGACCCAAGAAAAGGCAAAAGATGGACGAACAAAGTTATGTGAAAAATATTATTAATGCACAATAATTGTTATTACCATTAAATTGATTGATAATGTTTCAATGATTTGGGCTACTTTCACTTTCTTTACTGTTTAACTGTTGATTGATTGTTAACTGTGGGTCAATAGTGTTTCCGTTGAAAGGACAATGTTCAAATGGCATAATATAATAATTCATCATCAATTGGAATACAATAAATTACAATTAACCAACACTTGGTTCAACTCTTTTTTTCCCTTCATTTTCTTCCTTTTCCCTCCGATTCTCTTCTTGTTTGCCTCTGATTTGCATAGATTGAAACTGTTTCTTGTCTGACAAGAAAATTTCTCTTCGATCAAGTTGACTTCATTTTCTTCATCAAATTTCATGGTGATCTCTTTCTCTCTTCATGAAAAGGAAAAACGATGACATTGTTTCGTTTTCAGTTCTCAGGAAGTTAAACATTTACATTGAAAATTGCAACTTTATTTGTTTCTTTTTATCAATGGTGACATGTAAAGCTAGATAATAAATGACAATCAATTATTTTAATCATTAATTATCCATTGACAGTGGTCATTACCTTGGTAATCAGTCAATGGTTCTTTAATGATGAAACAGAAAGTATAAAATACTAAAAGTATCACAATGAAACTAATCAAACGCTAACGATAAAGGAGAGCAGATGATTGATTAAAACTCACTTTTTCGTAATTTAATTGCGTTGGTACTTTTGGATGATCGTTTAAAATAAAAATCGAATGGTTATTTTATAAGAGAGTCTATTTTTTAAATGCCTTTTAAATGACCTTGAGTTTTAAAAATTTTGAGTTTAAAGCAAATGTTATTTGATGATAGAAGATGTATGTCAGAAATGTCCTACTCAGAATTTTCATTTTACGCCTTCATACGGCATAACTCACGAACGGTTAGTACTATAGACCTCAGACTTGAACTATGAGCTTATGAAAATTAAACAACCATATGTTCCAACGCTTAAGGTTATTCAAGGTCAATTCTGCATTTGACCTCTAATTGACCTCCAACACTGGCGTTGTTGGAGCCACTATTGCTCATTTCATTGCAAATTGATTTAAATTTCGGGTTGGAAATTTTCCAATGTTGGCTATCGACAACCTGATTGAGGTAAATTTAAAGGATTATTGAATGACGGACATCAACTACTAAAGGTACGGTGACTAAAGGTAATTGTCAAATTGGATCAAATCACCGGTTTAGCATATTTTTTCTCTCTGCTTCGGGCATCAGTGAAGCAGCCTCATGAAATCACATATTCGCCTCCTCGATTAACGTTCATCAATCTCATTCAATGCAAATTGTCAATTTGTTGGTTATCAATATTCAAACTATGGTGACTATGCAAAAGAAAGCGCACTGGCTGTGGGATGGATGGAAAGAAAAGTGCTATTATGTCAATTTTTGGTGGAACTGAACGTGATTCAGGCCAAGCTTTTAAGCAACAAAACAAACCTAATTCAGAGATGCAGCCTTTAAAAAGTATTGCTACAAAACTGGTTAAAAATCTCAACCTGGTCAAACTTATACATTCCTAGTAACTTTGACAAAATTTTATTAAAGGGAGCTGTCATGAAATGGACTTTGAAGGCATTGATGTATTGAAATTTGCGAAACTAATCTCTAGTCAAATTTCCTATTTTCAAGCTTAAGTTTCAAGCGCAGTTTAAGGCTCATATATGTGGTTATGAAGGTTAATGAATTCAAAACCCCAAGATTGGTCGAATCACTGGACTTAGTCCAGCCGGGCAAGGTTTTTATAAAAACGAATTACCACTCCGTTAAAATCCGTCTGATACAAGTTATGTTTAGATTATACTCACTGGTTATGGCGTGAGGTTCCGCACCTAAGGTCACCTCGTTATTTGACCTCTGACCGACATTTGCAGCCAATTTTCTCAATTTTCAAAAATTTGTAGATCATTTCATTTCATTTCATAACTCATGCTGGCCAAAAGATATGAGTGTTATATAATATTTGGTACTGATGACCTTGAGCTTGCAAACTCATAGTCTTTTAATCTACTGAATCTTATCGGATCTAAAAATTCTGCACTCAGAGAAAATATCGTGTAAACGTCAGTTAGAGGTCAGATAGCGGAGTACGTGTATTTTGCAAAATTTAAAAATTTGATTCTGCACACAGAAAGCATTTCAGTGCAAATTTCATACATTATAATTTATTCATTATATCACATTGAAAAATGAGCCAAGTACCACATTAACACAACATAACATTGTACTACTTCTGAGCATCAATCACATCATCATCATCATCATCAATGCGAGAGTTTTGATCAACTTTGCCAATAGTAGATTCAACTTGAAGCTAATTTATTGGCATTGCAATTTCCTTAAATTTTTCAACTGAAAATCAAATTAAGTTTAAACAACTTGATAGTTGAAATGGCTAAAGTGAAACATCAATGCAATAAAAAATGAAAAAATGAAAAAAAAGTTGCTCAAAATTGAGGAACAAAAAGACTCGACTTTTAAATGAAGCAAAGACAATGAGAGTGATGAAAATGATGATCAAAGTGCTTTGTTCACTACCATCAACATCATCATTTTGTTCATAAATGTTGGTCCAAAGTTTATCACTGATACAGGAAGTTGAGTTGAGATGAAAAGCAAAAATGTGAAAAAGAACAAAAACTTTTTTTTTCTCTTTTCTCTTCAATAAAAATGAAGATTAAACATAAATACAAACACAGACAATTTAACTTTTTCTTGTTACTTTCGTTGTTGTACTTTTTTCCGTTCTCTTTGCTTATCCTCCAAAGGATTGAGTTTCGTTGAGCGTAATATGAGAAACGAGGTAAAAATTTGATTATCAAGCAACATGCAGTTTCATAAGGCAAATCCAGGATGATAATGATGATGAAAAGAAGCAAAAAGAAAGAAATAAAATGATGAAAAAAAAACTGATCAACACTGTTATTCAAGACACGTTTCCATCTCGAGACATTGAATCGCTTTTTTTCCTTTCCTTTTTTTCCTCATCATCATCTTTACCAATTCATACCATTTTTGGCCTTATTTTTTGCACCATTTATATTGTTCTCAACATTCAATCCTTTTCTCACTCTTTCGACATTTTTCACTCCCAGTCTATATTTTATTGTTTGCTTTTTTTGCTTGTTATCTTTAGCATTTTACGTACAGTAGAAAAAAATGGTTAAAATGCTGATAAGGAGAAAAGAAAATGAGACAAAAGTTATGAACATTGTTTGGAAGCGATAAAACGAGAAACTTGACTTGAATATTGTTTTTTGTTTGCGGTTCAACTGGACAATTTGAAAATGCTTCATTTGAATAGTATTCACAAGGCGAAAATGTTTAAATGGATAAAAAGTAAAATATGAATCATTTTTTTTGCTCTATTATTGCTTTTACCTTTTCAATTCGTTTCATTTTTCACCATCAATCTGAGGTTAATAGTCATGGGTGGTCATGATTCATCATCTTGACAGGGCTATTCTCAATAATGCTTGGTTGGACATTGGATAGCCTTTTGCATTTCATTGCCATGTAATTTGTGGTTTTTCATGTTGCACTTTGAGTCGCTCTTTTCACTCCAAGATTTTTTGCCCATCAAGTGCATATAGAGCACAGCTAACTCCTAAAAATAATTGATCCAATTATTTTTTAACATTGTTGAAGCAAGGATAAGAAATGCAAATATTTTAATTTTTCATCGTTTTTCATCTTTTTGCAGATTATGGACAGTTGGTTCAAGTGCCATTGAATCATTCGACCGGTAATGGGTCCTTTAGCGAATTTGAATGGCGAGTGCCAGATTTGCTCGACATGATTTCAGAAGAAACCATCTTTGTTCGTTCTCCTCCGTTCCACATATCGAAGCCTGGTTATCGAGTACAATTTTTGCTCATATTGAACAATACTTATACCGATGGCAACTCATACTTGGGCCTATTTTTCCGACTCATGACAAGTGAATATGACACTACTCTGGAATGGCCATATCAGCTACGAACCACATTGACCATGTTTGATTTGAAGAATGTCGAATCTTCATTTAAACATACAATAACTCCCAATGTTGACCCTTGCCGTTTGAGGTCAGTCTTTTTGCGTCCATCTCAACAAGATGATTGGACGCCCATGCCAGATGGCTGTGGTAACCGTCGAGTAGTACCATTGCAAAAGCTATTCACCGAGCCTGACCGCTACATGAGAAACGGAACTCTAGTTGTTCGAGGTTTATTCCAATTGGATGACAAAGGGTCAACCCACAAGGTTGCCTCTATTCACATGAGGTACAACAACTTGGTTACCAAGCACGTCTGGCGTATAAACAATTTTACGACGGCTTTTGAAAAGGCCTTTTCTAACGGGTCAGTGAATGTTCTTCAATCTGAACCCTTTTACACTCACCAAGGTGGTTATCTGGTTAAACTTTTCATGACACTCTTACCAAAGGATCGGGCATTTGCCATTTCATTGGCACTCATGCAAGGAGATTATGACAGGTAAAAGTCGACTTCGTTTACTCAAATCTTTTCACAACTAAAAGTCATGAAAAGTATTACATTAAAATTCAATCTAAATATCTCATGATCGATGACACCAGCAATTGATAATGTTTGTTTCTCTTGTCCAGATATCTTCAATGGCCTTTCCCGTATTCACTGGAAGTCTCGATTGTTGACCATTCTCCTGAATATTGGCGAAAAGATTATACAATACTGTTGAGTCCATCATCAGCTGATTGTACTTCATCACCATTCTTTCAACCCTCAAATTATCTAGACTTTTGTTTCACAACAGTTCAATCATTTCATTTACTCAATTTAACCCATTATCGATTCATTGAGAATGGTTCACTTGATATTCAACTGACAACCAAATTTAATCACTTCTCAGGTCGTAAACAAGCCTCTCTTGGTCTCCATCAAGGTTCATTAGTTTCAGAGTTTACTTGGATGTTACCCAATATAAGGTATAAATTGGGTCGTTTTGATTACATGGGACGAACCCTGAAAACCTTTACAAGTCCCGAGTTTTACACCAATGGCCAAGGCTACCTAATGCAAGTCTCTCTTCGGTTAAACTCAACCTCTCCTGGTAAGGGTTACATAGGCCTTGAACTGGCTTTGATTGAAGGTGAATACGATAGTCTGCTTCAGTGGCCCTTCAATCAAACCTTTCAGTTGATGTTGATTAACCAACAGCACGAGTATGCCAACAATGAAGGACTCATAAACTACAACAGAACCGAGATAATCTCTTTTGCTCGTGAAGATGACATGATGGTAACCATTAAACCATCAGAACTTAAATCGCACGAGTGCACTATTGCAAACTTTGTAAAGCCTCTCGAGAGGAATCAGCCGTGTGGTAAAAAGCGACTAATTGACTTCAGTCGAATCAACCGATCAGATGATCCAATCAAGTTTGGCAACATGCTAATCAAGGCTAGAATTTTTCTATAAAATTTCTGTAAAACCATTCAATTTCAATAACTCAAAAGTGAACAAAAAATGTTTCCAACTCCTGAATTTTTTGTACTATTCAATTTGTATCAACAGTTTTGACCTTTTCTTGACCATTAATTTATTAATAAAAAAATATTGACATTCATGTTGACAGAGAAACGAAGTTATTTTTGTATTTTCCGAAACAATGAATTTCCATTTAATTGCCAAATTGCTTTACAAAAAGGTCAATGTTTCGAGTTAACAGAAATGCAAGACAAAATATTAACTAAAGCATAAATGACAAGTTTCGGTTAATTTTTGATGTTTACTGTTTGATATTTTCCATTCTTGTGTCATCCATCAGTTGAATCGTATTATGAGAAGTTAATTGTTGTAAATAGTGAAATTAATGTAGTTTGCAATGAATGGAAAACAATGGAAAGGTTAAATAAAGTCTAACTGTTGCTGTCAACTTTGAGGTTACTTGAGCAACCTTAATTAATATTATTGTTGATGGTGAAAGAAAGAGCGGAAAAAATGTTGAATTAACTTTTCATTCAACTGTATCTAAAAATGATTGGCAGCTTGAAATGTTTTACATACAGTTACAGAAGTTGATTAGACTTGCCCTGTGCCAATCATCAATGCATCACTCGAATCAAGTTGCAATTAAAAACAATCTCTCAAATTACTTGAGCCAAAGACACAATTCGTTCCACTGCCTGCCCACTGCTTTAAATTGCAGTGCCGATATTTCTGCTAAACTAACAGTGTATCGTTGTGAGAAATGAGGTTAAAATGTCAAGATGTCGTCGGCTCGTGTTAGCGTTTTGTTTCAACGGCTCATGAAAAAATCACATGAGCCGACCAAGGAAGAAGTCTTACCGAACCCCAAGTCTTATTTCTCTTGTGTGTCCATGCTACTACTCTCTTGAGAGATGCAGAGCCTCCAGAGCTTTCCGAGTGATGCGACGATATTGCATCTTTGAACTGCCTTGTTTTGACTTCCTCATCCAACTAAATGCGAGATCATTGTTAGTCTTATTCCTCAGGTTTGTCAGGTCTAACAAAGTTCTCAAAATGCCAATGTGCCAGCGTGCCGAACATGAAAAATTTTCAAGTAAAAATTTGCAAAATCGTCCTTTTCTTATCAAACCAAAAGGTTTAACCATTTTATTTCCTCTCTGGTTGAATCCTTTTTTGGCCAATTCTTTCCAACTGTTCATCATCTTTCTTCATTGAGTGTCTTGTGCAAAGTTAATAAATCATAACTACAAGAAAGATTGCAAAGTAAGAAATAAAAGTGAAACAATCAAAACACCCAAACAAGAGTCAACATTTCTAACCATCATTATTCATCTACAATTGTTGCAATAAATTCATCAGCTAACCAGCCAACAATAGCCATTGTACAGTAAAATGATGAAAAAAAGAAGCAAACAAAAATTTCTACAAAAATGAAGCACGAAATTTTTTCCTTCAACTTTGCAGTTTTTCCCATAAAAGGCAAAAATATCGAGACAAAATTTTCATGTTAAATTGAACAATTGTAGAAATGAAATGAAAAAAAAGATTAAACTGAACAAAATATCAATAATAAAATATTGCATCTTTATGCAAAGCAAGCCAAAGCTGTTTTACAAGTCAACGTTTCCAGAGAGGAAATGATTTGATTGAATCAAACTCAAATTGAAAGTTAATTTCAATGTTTGCTCGATTCACTTTATTGTCAAATTCAACTTTAAATAGGGTTAACCGTTACCTTATCCATCTCTATAAATTCAGCTAATACTCTAAACCAGACAGATAACATCTCATATAAAAGCTTAAGAGGATTTTTTCTTCTCTTCATTTTCTTTCCTTTCTTGCCTTTCTCTGCGTCTCTTTTACCATCGTCTTATCTTCTAATAAGCTGAACAAACGTAATCTCTCGTATGTTAAGGTAAGAAAAGAAATTCAATTGATTTAACCCTATTTCCCTGAAGATGTCTGTGGTCATCAAGTAGCCCTGTCAAACCAGCAAACTTTCATTCTTACTCTTTTCCTTTTCCTTCCCTGTTCCATCTTATTATCTTTTCAAAAAGTAAAGGTAAGACTGATAGAGATGTTTAGTTGGACAGATGGATGAAAACTTTTATTCCAACATGTTCTCATGTCATCAGAAAATCTCAAACTTTTCAATCTCATGATGATGCCAATAATGGAATAAAAATATTTGAATTTGCCAAAAAAGAAAAAAATTATTCCATAACAAAAAGATTTTCAAATTTCATCACAACCTGTCCAAGTTGCTCAACTTTTGCTCATCAAAACTGATTGACCAAAGTTTTAAATTTTCCTTCAACTGTTAATCTGTTGAATTTGAAAATGTAAAAGTCAAAGTTGGAAATTGCCTGAAAAAATTGAAAAATTTCATGAGTCAAACACTGGGAGTGAATATTATCATTATCAGATATGTGGAAATGGGTTTGACAAAAAAGAGCAACTTTTCTCAATCATAATTCGACTCGATCAAAGATGAATCTTGAATTTTATTTAACACTGTTATACGCTTGTTCACTGGTAAAATTACATGTTACATGAATGCTGCAACAATAATGATAGAGTTAAAACACAAAACTGTAAATTTCATTCCTAAATGACAATGTTGCAGAATCGCAAAACTCATTTTCGATAAAGAAAAACTCGAATCTTGAAAAGAAAATTTTGAAAAATTTGCTTCCAATTGCATGCTAAACCATGTTTGATTCATGCTGCAAATGACCTTTTTTTAGGTTGCAAATAAAGTCAACTAAACAAGTGAAATCGGTAAAGTTACGAGTCAAATGATTGGAATATAAAAAAATGGTAAATTTCCTTTTCTCTGCAACTTTTTGTGTTCCTTTGATGTAGAGTCATCAACTTGTTTGGTACAAGTTGGGAGGTAAAAAGGTTTGCTCATGACCGTGCTCATGAACATGGTAAATGTTAACAATAAAAGTGAGAAACAGTGAGATTCCATGATGAGTGAAAGAGTCAACACATTTTTTTCTTCTCTCTCTTTTCTCTGTTCGTCGATGAAACAATATTTGAATGGTAACCAAGTTGTTACTCTTTTCTGTCCACTTCTTTTTGTTCCGTATTCATCATTTTTTCATTCATTGTTCAACACCATGAATGGGTAAAGAACACCTTTTTCGTATCAACATTGACTTTTTCACCTTGAAACAATTTTCTCGCCATTTTCGTCACAAACAAGATTCCAATTCCGAAATGATAAAAGTTGCTTAAAATGCCGATGATTGGCTGTTTGACTTGAGTTTAAGTGTTGACCAATTGGAACAGTGTTTCAGTGTTTACTGTTTTGACACTACTTAACTGCCTAGTGCAACCTCAAAGGGAATGCTCAAAATCGTTGCCATTTCGTGCTTATTTGTTCTCTACCATGCAAACTGTCAGAGTAAATATTCATCATTACCATTATCAGGTAAGACAATCAATATTCGTTAGAAGCAAACTGTTCATCAACACTGATTTTTCGCCTTTTAAATTATCTTTTTCCTCCTCATCGACCAACAATTTTTTTCTCCTTTTAACCCATTATCATAATCATTTTCAATTAGAGGTTGAATAAAATGTTTCAAAAGCACTTTTGTTCAGGCGAAAAAGGTAATTGCTTTTATAATGATTTCCATTGAAATGAACTCATCAATTATCAGAACAAAATGATCAATCACTTTATTGAAATTTTCATTTTTCGCTCTCAATTAGAATTTGGAAAAGAACGAAATTCCTTTTTTCCCTCCCAGTCTTCCAAGTAACATCTTTTATAAAACTAAATTTCGTTGGACTTGAAATTTGAGAGAAAAATATTTCTGTCAAAACAAATAAACTTTGTAACGTTAAGTGTGAATATTGGCTCTGACAGAAGGAAAGAACAGACAGAAAATAGTTTTACAAAATAAAGTCCAAGATTGTTGAAAAAAAGTTAAATAAATAAAATAGTGAAGATCAAAGATTCGATAGGAAACTGATATGAGAAAAAGAGTTTGGAAAGAATCAGAATATTGAATAAAAGCATGAACCCAAATGTTCATCAGGGAGTGAAAAATATTGTTATGTAAAGAGGAAAGAAAAGAATCTGAAAATGAAACGAAAACCAAGAAAAAGAATCAAAAAGTTCTTGCTTTCCAAAAGTCAAAAATCGAAGTGAAAAAAGTTGAACAAAAAAGATTTTCCAGACTTTTAATGGTTGGAAAATATTGACCGAAATGAAGTGATGAAACAAAAATGAACTTTTAAATTCATTTGTTGGTTGAATTGATTGTCGATAAAAAACAAGTGTTTCATGAGTTGATTGAAAAGTGAATGATGAAGCTGACAAATGGTAAAGAGTAAAGTTGTAGGAGGATGACATGGAGGAGGTGGAATTGGGAATGTGATAATAGAACAAGAATAAAGTGTTGAATTTGTTATACAGTCGAGTGAATTGTTGAAACAGTAAAGAGAAGAGAAAAGTGTTTGGAAAGCAATTTTGGACTGGACTTTGTTTTTAACTCGAAAAATGAGATTATTTTTGTTGAAACATTTCAAAGTTATAAATATAAATTGGATTTCATTTATTATTAGTATCATTATGATGAGCATCATTGTGTAAAGTGAGAAGCAAAACGTGAAGCAAAAGAAGGCGAAAAGATAGCATTTCATTTTATCATCATTTCCATGCAATTTATCCTTTACTTTGATTTAAAGCCAAACTTGGTCAACTTTGTTTCATAATCTTGTTTCACCAAAGTTCAACAGAAAAAGAATGTTTTAAACTTTTTGTTTTTTCTTCCTTTTTCTCTCTCTCTCTCATAATCATAATCATGATCATGGCTATCATTTTGCTCTTCTTTTATTCATCATTTCCCTTTCAATTTCATTTGTGGAAATAATTTCAACCACTTGAGCCAAATTTTTTCCAATCAATTCCAATAAAGAGAAAATTTTTTATTCCAATTTACAATTCAATTGTTGTCGAGTCCGCAGGCCTTCTCTACACTTGGTTGACAGTTTTTTTCTCATCTTTTTTGCTCTTCTTCTCTCAACTTGCCATCTCAATTCCAGTTCAATTGGGATCAAATTTCGACTTTTTTAACAACATTCTTCAATTTATCTTTTTCTCCTTTCAACCTCTTCATGTCAATTCAATTGAATTCATGGTTAACCTCTGGTCAACTGGAAATGCCAAGCACACAATCAGTTATTCCAATTGGTTGTCGATTCGAGAATTTGATGAAACAATTATTGTCAAAATTGACTCGATTCCTTTTCCTTCCACCTTTCATTGAGAATTTTTTGGAACAAAAAAAAATTTAAACTCGAATGTCATGAAAAGTTGAATCTCAAAATGATGATTGATTGCATGATTATCGCCATTCCAATGAGAAGCAGCAAAAAGTGTCAATTATTTAGCCAATTGTTTATTCATTTAATCTTTTTTTTTCTCTCAAAGCTTTTCTCCTTTTCATCTCATTTATTCATCGCAACATTTACTCTTCAAAAACATGATATTGAAGGCACAATGAATCGCCAAGGTTCGTTCATACTTTTCATCATTTCAGATTCACTTTTGGGAAAAGACAGGATGGAAAAATGTTTAGAGAAGAGGCAACAAAAAAAGAGAATAGAAAAAAAAGACGCAAAAAATTCATCTTGTGATTTTCATCTGCATAATAATATTGATTGAAACTTTTCACCTCACTTTGAACAACATTTTTGTTGAGGATAAAAAATACGGAATTGCAAAACTTGCATAATTTATCTTTATCATGATACATTACACTTCAATAGTTGTTGCTGTTAAACCGTTTTTTTCTTCGTCTTTTTCTCGCTGTTTTCTTGAAGATGCCTTTTGTCTTCATCAGTCTATTTTTTCACTCGCTTCTTACCTCTTCATTTTTCTTTTACCTTTTTTTGCTCCTTTTTTCAATAGGTAAACCTGTCAATGACTGACATGACAATAAACAACTAAATTGTTAGCAGGTAAAAACAGGAAACAGAATGAAACAGTCTTTGAATCAAGCAAAGAAAACATTTCATTCCGTTTTTGCACATGAAATTCCCAGCAAGATTGATAGGCATTCTGATCGTCGAAAATCTCGATCAGTGTGTCAAGCCCTTTTTATCGACAAAATTTATTAACCCATAAGGTTCTCAAAAACTTCAAAAGTCAAATTCCAGTAAAATTGGTATTGAAATGAAATTCTGTATTTGAAGTTGAGTGAATTTTATTGTTTCAATAAAAAAGTGAATAGTGTTTTCAGCACGCAAATTGAAGATTGTTGAGATCAGATCAGATCAAAAGATCATTCATTAAGCACTCGGTTTCTGACCTCTAATTCACTTTGAAAAGCTTTGACTTTACTAGGTCAAACGATCAATCGTCAAAATCGTTTGATCGTTAGTGAATTTATTTATAAAGTTTTATTTGCATGAGTTTTCGTAACTTTTTTCCCGTTTTAAGCCATATCTCAACTCATCAAATAATGTTGTTGAGTCTGTACGTCTGTTGAGTGACAAAGACATCGAAGCTTTCAAATAACCTTCAAATGAACTCTAATGTCAAATTTATACGGAAATACATTGATTGACCTTGAAATTTTATCCAGCGAATTCTCGCTACACTAACCCTATTTATTCTGTACGGCTGTTGGAAATGCAGTAGCAAAACTCACAAAAAGTTTATGCTACAGACTTCAGTTTTGAACCATGAGCCGTCTCAGATTGAAGAAGCATAAGAATAAACGCTCAAGGTCATTCAAGGTCATTCAGTTTATTATCATCTTACTGACATCGGCAGTTAGTTTTCTGATGAGGAAACCTCGTCAATTGCTAAATCGATATCGAGAATTTATTTTCGGATATCAGTAAATTGGACCTTTTCAAATGCCAATATAACGAAATTAGCTTCCACCCATTAGATCGCGCCGTTTTATTCAACTTTGTTCTAGCAAAAAAAATTTATTTACAATGTATTTTGTTTGATAAAAGTGAAGATTCTAAATCATGATTATCGAGGATTTTTTTTCATTTCGCGCCTGTTTGCAGGTATCACTCAGACTCAGACTAACGGTTAATGCTACAGACGTCAGATTTGCTCTATGAGCTTTCGCCGATTGAAAAAACCAAAGAATTGAACGCCCAAGGTCATTCAAGGTCAAACCCATTATTTGATCTCTGATCGACACAGCTCCTATAATTAATATAGTTATGATTATTATAGCAAAAGATGGAAAGGTTTTGTTCTTGAAAGACTACGCAATGTTAATTATTTAACAGGTAAGCTAAATTAAATACATGTTTTTTACAATTCAATGGAGAGAATAGCAATTACCACATAAATTTTTAATTTAGACGATTGCGCGATTTCAGGCTATCCAGCTGGTAATGCCATACTCTATAAAGCTGGGCGACTTCAGATCACACGACTACAGAATTGTTTCCTAATCTTAAGGTTAGTCCGTGTTGTACGATGCTTTTCCAGGAGAAGTCCCGTTTTATGTTATGATAACAAAAGGTGTATTTTATGATTGGTTTTAATAACAAAAATATGGTGTTGTATCAATTTCTGTCGATGGGTCTTGACTGCGACCCATTGTATTTTCAATTATTTCGGAGCCTTGTGCGTTTTTTTGGGTGAAGAATGGGAAAGCAAAACGCTTTCAATCGCTAAAATTTTCGTCCATCGGAATTTTAATTGCCAAACACTAGCAAACGAAATCGCCCTTTTATTATTGAAAGAGGCCGCACAGTACTATGTGATTATCCAACGCCTTTTCTTACCAGAGACTGCAGAAGATGAAACTTTTTATGGTCGCCATTATTAACAGTCCGTGAAGGTATTCCAGGGCTCTAAATGAAACCAAGGAAATTACACTGACTTTGAACTAGAATGTCTAGCAGTTGGCGAAGCCGTCGAACAATTCGAAGCTTCCCTTAGTCTTTTGTAGTTCTTTAGCCATCAAGGTCATTCAAGGTCAAACCATTATTTGAGCTCTTATTGACACAGCTCTCAGTCCAGTCGAAAAGTGTCAAACTTTCTTATTTACCTAATAATTGACCATAGATGTTGTTAAATCTCAATATGATAAAATTTATTGATAAAAATTACATTATCGTTTCTAAATTGGATTGGACTCGGATGTATCTGTATCGAGATTGAATGTGTACTAAATCTGTTCACCATATCTGACTATTTCGTTATGAGTCATTTGCCTGATGAATATATTAAATACTTTCATGCTTATTCTACGTCTATTTATATTTGTTTTATTTGAAGCATCTAATGAATGATCTTGTTGTGCAATAAAAAGTACATGTTTTTGGTTCAAAATTTTACAATTGAAAATTCGCAACTTGTGACAAACATCAACCATTGGTGAAACATCTGAAATGATGAAAAATTTCGCAGAGCAAATCTTGTCATTCAAAATTAACCGGATC